TAACTCAAAGAAAGGCCAGTGAAAAATACGGCATCCCACGGAGAACCATTATTAATCAGCTAAGACTTCAACGATCTAAACTGCCATCTCGACCTCCCGGCGCACCAACAACATTTTCAAGTGAAGAGGAAACCTTGTTTGTCGACTGCATTTTAAGGCTGAGTGAGTACGGCTTTCCTCTCACAACTTTCGACCTTCGCATGGTTATTAAAACATATTTGGAGAAAATTGGTAGGAGAGTTTCAAAATTTAGAGATAATTGTCCAGGTTCTGAGTGGGTATCAAGTTTCTTAAAAAGACATTCGTGTTTGTCACAAAGATTTGCGACCAATATTAAACGCAGCAGAGCAGCCATTGATAAGAATACCATCACTGCTTACATAGAACACTTGAAAGAGGTGGTTAGAGATGTACCGCCCGAAAATGTATGGAATTTCGATGAGACTAATTTATCCGACGACCCTGGTCAAAAAAAAGTAATAGCGAAGCGAGGAGCAAAATACCCGGAGCTTATAAGCAATACCTCCAAAAGTTCAACTTCTATCATGTTTTGTGGAAGTGCTAAAGGAGAATTATTACCGCCGTATGTTGTATATAAATCTAAGCAACTATGGAGCACATGGACGGAACAAGGGCCCAAAGGTGCGAGATTTAATAATAGCCCATCAGGTTGGTTTGATATGAATATTTTTAACGATTGGTTTTTTACACAAGTTTTGCCAAAATTAAATAAACAAGAGGGTCCAAAAGTTCTAATAGGAGATAATTTGTCATCGCACATTTCTGTAGACGTCCTTAGTGCCTGTGACAAAAATAATATCAGATTTGTTTGTTTGCCACCTAACAGCACTCATCTAACTCAGCCATTAGATGTAGCTTTTTTCCACCCAATGAAGGTAGCGTGGAGAAAAATCCTAACCGAGTGGAAGGCAAGTGTTCAAGGTAGACGAGAGCAAATACTTCAAAAAAGCAGTTTCCCAATTCTGTTAAACCGACTCATTGATATTTTGGAACCGACGCGGGAGGTAAACCTCGTTTCAGGTTTTCGAAAATGTGGAATTTATCCACTTGATGCCAATGCATTGTTAGAGAGGTTGCCTACACCTGTTGACCAGACTGCTTTGCAAGACTCTTTTCTACAGAGTCTTGAAGCTAAGAGGTTAGAATGGACGACAAATGGAGCTACAAGAGGACGTCGCAGGAAACTACAGATAACTCCTGGAAAAAGTGTAACTGAAGAATTAAGCACACTTTTGGACGATAAAGAAAATGAAGAATTCACTCAGCCGTCAACTTCAAAGCAACCATGTTGCCGTAGAGCCAATAGCGAAAGCTCTTACGCAGAAAGTATCGACATGTCACTTCATGATTCTTCTGATCTTTGTTCTCTTGGAGATTTAGAAAATCTTGAAGCTAACACTGATAGAGCGGCCGAAATTTGTAATGAAAAAAGCAATTTTAAACCAGTTGTGAAGGCGGTTGGGCAATATGTAGTTTTCATGTATGAGGGGGAAATGTTTCCAGGAAAAATTACAAAAATTAATAAAAAGGGACCGTATATATCTTCAATGAAAAAGTCTCTCAAATCCTGGACGTGGCCTAGACCCGTCGATGAAATTCAATACGATTGGCAGGATATATTGGGATGTATCGAAGTCCCTAAAAAGATTAGTTCACGTCGTGAAATATATTCGGTTCCTGAACTAGACAATACTTGGGGTTATTAAGTATAAAGTTTAAATATGTTAAATTTTCATAAATATTTTTATTTTTATATGTTTTCATTTTTGAGAAGTTGATCTCGTTATTTTTGACTGATTTTTGTCCAAAGACTAAATATTTGTAACCTAAGTTACTAGTTAAGATAACAGTGCCTGATATAATTTAAGAATATTAAAAAAAAAACAAAGAAAGTGATTTTGTAACTTAATTTAAGAATATAACATTATTTCTTCAAAAAATATGGTTTATTTTCATTTTTACCCATTTTTCGACCATTAATACTATCCATAATAGGTAAAGCGTAATATCACTGGAGCATAGTTTGAATATGGCAAGTATAACTTTGCTCAAAAAGCTTCCACAATGGAGATTGCTAGTGAAACATACCCTTATTCATAGTTTTATATATACCTATTATAAAATACCTAATTACGTTAATTTAACTATCAAAATATGTTAGATAACATTATATTCTTTAAATTAATACATCTGAGTATGTTTCATAATCAATAGTTTAAACAATATTCATAGTTCCCTTTCTTTGGAGCAAATATTGGAGCAAAGTAGGACCATTTTACGGTACCTTTGCTATTATTTCAAAAATATTTTTATGTAAGCTAGCTTAGCACGATCATATTATAGAACTTGATCTTACGCTTTTGTTTTTTCGGTTTGTATTCGGTTTCATTTTTTTGTATCTTATTTTCAGAACATGGCGCCTAAGAGAAAATATGACAATAATTATATAAAATTTGGATTTATCTCGATAGAAAGTAACGGGGAAATAAAACCACAGTGCGTTATATGCGCAACCGTTCTCGCAAATGAAGCGTTGAATCCAGCAAAATTGAAACGCCACTTAGAAACGGTACATCCAGATTTATCTAACCGCCCGCTTGAATTCTTTCAAGGAAAATTAGAGGTCCTAAAAAAAATGAAACTCGGGCCTAGCGGCTCGAGATTTGCAACATCGGAAAAGTTATTAGTAGCGTCGTTTGAGATTTCTAAATCAATAGCACAATCTAAAAAGCCACACACAGTTGGAGAAACACTCGTAAAACCTTGTTTGATCAAAGCCGTCGAAGAAGTTTTGGGATTAGAGGCCAAGAAAAAAATACAAGACATACCTCTGTCCAATAACACGGTCAAAGCTCGAATTGAGCTTATGTCAAGTGATATAGAGGAGCAACTTGTGTCAAGAATAAAAAAATCGCCATTTTTCGCTTTGCAGTGTGATGAGTCGACCGACATTTCAAATTGTTGTCAACTACTTGTATTTGTTCGCTTTTTAGACGACGACAACATAATTAAAGAAGAGTTATTGATTTCACGGGAACTGGACACAACATCAAAAGGTATCGACGTCATGAACTCAATATCCGAATTTTTCGAGAAACATAATCTTATGTGGGATAAACTCGCTGCCCTCTGTACCGATGGTGCTCCAGCAATGTTGGGATCACGTTCCGGGCTGGCGACATTAGTAAAACAGAAAAATCCTAATGTAATTACAACGCACTGTATCATACATCGCCAGGCGTTGGCTTCAAAAACTCTTCCTGGATGCCTCAATGATACACTAAAAATGGCCATAAAAATTGTAAATCTTATTAAAAGCAGCGCCTTAAATACACGACTTTTCAAAAAGTTATGCACTGAAATGGACTCTGGCCTATTCTTGCAAACTGCATCGGTTGACATCAAAAGAGCCGTCGATACTGTGAAGGATGTCATGGAAGTATTACGATCGAAACGCCAAAATGCTGAGTCTGTATTTAAGCAATTATTTTCAGAGGCGACAGAGCAAGCAAAAGAGCTGGATGTTACATTAAAATCCCCACGTACAGTTCAAAGACAAACAAACAGGTCCAATTATGAGGCGGAATCGGTGGAAGAGTACTTTCGGAAATCAATCTACATACCTCTATTAGATTCCATTATTAATGATTTGGAGGAGAGATTGTCTCCGGAGGTACTCGACCTATTTCATTTAGGAGTTTTTCTACCAAACCCTAATGTGAGTATCAGGGACTGGGATATCGATATCGAGATAGTGAAAGTGAAAAAAGTGGTCCAGATGTACCGCCTATTCATTAACGATAGTGAGTCAACTGTCATAAATGAATACCGACTCTGGATGACCAAATGGAAAAGAGAATATAAGAACAATTCGGCCATACCAGACTCGGTAGCTCATCTCATTGAAGCATGCGACCAAGATTTGTACCCTAACATAAAAATTTTCTTACAAATACTGGCGACTCTTCCGGTCAGCGTAGCTACCGCAGAGAGATCTTTTTCTACTCTTCGCAGAATAAAATCTTGGTTGCGTGCCTCAATGGCACAGGAAAGATTATCCGGGCTAGCTCTCCTAAGGTCCCTTTTCACCAAGCTCTGTAAAAACTCAGTTACACGTAACCTAAGTTTCAAAACTCGTGTGGATCTGGGTAATCTGAGTTTACGTCAAACCGATTTCTTCGACACCATCCCACCAAAACTAGTTTACAACGAGAGAGTTACGAGAGCGTTTTGTTTCTACAACATGCATCAGGGAATTAAGCGACCTGCTGCGGTTTGCGTTTATAAACAGTCATTTGCTGATGTTAAAAAAATAAATAATGTATTAAAATATTATTTTAAATTAAGATTATATTATATCTTATTATTTTAAATTAATATTATTAAAATATATGCATATATTTTTACTTGTAACAACGGGACGAATTTTAATACATTCACACTTCACAGTGTTACAAGCTCAGAATAAAATCGCATATGAAACGGGGAACATAATACAAACATGATTTGAAAAAAAAAACATTATCCAATGTAAAGCAATTGTTATATAGTATACTACTTAATTCCTATAATAAACAAGTCTTATTTAAAAAAGCAATGAATAATGCATTTAAATAATGAAAAATTAATATTTTTGTTCTAACTTTTATTCATACAATGGCAACTTTGTTTTTATTCCCCGATGTAGAAAATTTCAAATCATTCGTAAACTTTGTGTTTGACGAGTGCCCATCTTTCTTTTTCTGTGCGATTTCTGTGACCCTGTTTTGCTTTTCGGACTATTGTGTGATAACTTTTACGACGACCTTTGCTTGCTTTATCGGACTGGACCCCTTTCTATTACGAGACCACAGCTACGGGCAATACGGACTTTGGATTTTTGTTTGTACGACTTTGTGTAGGTACTATACTACGCCATGTCTAACAGAACCGAAAATTTGAAGCGGAAGAGAGATCCAACCTTCGTCGCAAGTGAAAAAATGGCGTTAGTGGATCTGGTGGAGAAACACTTTGCTATTGTAGAGTGTAAAAAAACCGATGCCACAACAATACGCAGCAAAAATCAGGAGTGGCAAAAAATTGCAGAAGAATTTAATTCTGTTTCGTCAGTCCATCCAAGAGAATGGATTGTTTTGAAAAACTGCTGGGAAAACTTAAAGAAGAGAGCCAAAAGTGAGCAGACAGCACGTAACCAACATTATTTGGGAACAGGTAAAAAAGTCATTGAATAATATTAATCTGAAAATGTCATAGTTTGATGTAACCCAATAATAAAAACCGAAAATATTTGCTATAGTTTCAAGTTTGTTGTAAGTTGCTGTTACTTAACTTCACCTTCTTTTTCATATTTAAGGAGGAGGTCTACCCAGGAAATTGACTGTAGATCCAGCAATCGATCGAGTTCTAGATCTTATCCAGACTAGAGTGTCTGGATTTGTTAATGTGTATGACTCCGATGGCACTCATATTTTAGGTAAGATTTTTCACAAGTCTCGAACGTTTTATTATCTTTATATTATTGTATATAGTTACTACTTGTTAAACCTTACACACTTTGAATTGGTTATACCAACTTTGATATCATCATCATGGACTCGTGCACATACACATCAACTTTGCTGATGATCATTGCGTTACATGATGCAATGCATAATTTCTGGTTCTTTTAAAGACACACAGACAAACCTTCATTATTATTTACATAATATACATAGAATATGTAGGTTTGTCACCGAACTCTGACAAAGTCTGCGGAGACTGCCAGTAAATACCTATGTAAATTGTTATTAAACTCATAAATAAGTTTGGCCTAGTATTTTTGCTGTATTCAATTTGCATCATAACAAAATATATAAACAAGACTTTATTTTTCAGCATCTGGTAACAATCCAAGCACATCAGTGGCCGACCAGGCACCTCAAAATGATATATTATTATATTCAAATGGTAAGTATTAATTTGTTATTTCTTACGTAATGCAGATTTTAAATCAATTATATACATTGATTTAATTTGGTACCATGCATGTATTATATTGAAATTTAGATAATAGTAAAGTAATTTAAACAAATATGTTTAACAATTGTCTATTACTCTAACTACAAGCTCTGCTTAGTTTGGGTATAGACAGCATTGTGTGAAAGTTAAGGAATATTATCATTATTATTTTCATGAGCAGTCCGCTGCTCATGAAAATTTATCAATACCTACATACTAAAAACATCTTAAGTGGGGCTTTCTTAAAATAAAGAATAGTATTGTACCTTGCATTAGACTCATTTGCACTTGAGCAGATGAGATTCTTTGTTTAGAGAGGAAAATAAAATATTCTAAAGTTCATAGTTTTTATGATAATGACACAAAAATTAATGAAAGATGTGTATGTACATACATACATAACATTACATGTGATAATCTAAAGTGATATTCACTATTTTTATTAAATAATTTGTTATAGATGCCAGTGCTACTCCTGTACTTGATGTATAGGACTCCACGGAGGCCGCTGTAGTTACTGAGACAGCTGCTGCTTCATTTGAAGTTGTAAGTATTGTGAACTAAATTTGAAAACAATCCACTATATCGGTATTTACTCTTACGTATAAGGTCTGCACCTTACCATGGTGGACAGATCATATTAATACCATCATCATGGTATTTAAGTCCCCTCTTTGAAGACTGGCAAAACGTAACATATGTTCCTTACCTGCATGACGCAGGTCCTCTCTGAACACACGTCGTTTCAGGATTTTCTTACCTTTGAATCAAGCAGAACTAACTGAAGAGCTTAGGCAGTTAAAAGGACCTTATAAAAAAAGGTGGTTAATGGACATCACAATTTTATTTTTTAAGACTCTTCCACTATTCTATGCTTACAACAGATGATGTCCAAAATTAAAAACTTACCTATTATATGTTTTTTTATGAAATTGTATTTTATGCAGGACTGGTCTCAGTACACTCCAGCAATGTTGAGAGCACCAGTTACCATAGCACTTGTTGCCTGAAGGAGTCCATCACCTGAGGCAACTGGCAGTAGAGTGGAACCTCCACCACACGAAAGAACAACTATCACTCCACCTAGGTTAGTAATATTATAAACTGTTCATTATCTCTTTGCATAAAATATATTATAATTAAAATTCAAGTAAGGAAGTAAACTGTTTCAATAGTAATCACTACAATATTAAACTATTAGCTGTTATTATAAGTATTTTTTTTATATTTATTTAATAAAATTATTGTTTAATTGTTGCAGAGTTATATCCACTGAACGCCCTATAGCGACGGCAAGTCGCAGAAGGCTAATTTTAAGGCGTGAAAGCCTTAACGCGCAACGCATCAACACGTTACTAAATTGTAATAAAAATGCTGATGAAGAACATGCCGCAAATATGGCAATTTTGCGGCTTCAAGAGCAGAGGAAGCAAGAAATGCTGGTTCAAGAAAAATTAAAAACGGAACAAGAAAAAATAAAACTAGAAATTTTGAAATTACAATTAAAAAAATTACAAGATTATTTATAGTTTTTATTTCCTTTCAAACAAAATTCACAAATTTATTACAGAATACCTTTTTTCTTATTATTCCAGAGCAATTTAATTTAATTCAAAGCAACTTTAAAATTAACAACACCAAATTTATTGTTACTGATGACTATCTTTTTCAAGTTTCAAAATCAAATCATTTATCTATTTCAATATTTCATAAACAAGCACTTTTGCAATGTCTAAATTGAAATTGAGCATCAGTGAAGCTAGGTGCTCTTTTCAAAATGTAAATTTATGAAAATAGTGTACTGGATGTTTATGTAAAAACATATGGTTGATTTTAACATAATATTACTTGCATTGTATTATGCAGACTGACAATCTGAAATAAGATTTGTAATCTTAACAAAGAAAAACTCGTAAAATATTTTTTCCAACTGGGATTAAGGGAAATAAATTGAAAAAAACTATGCAGAGCTGTGTGACGGCCGCCTCTCGCTTGTTTGAACGTCGCGGGTCACGTGCGTCTCGCACATGCGTGTTGACTTTTTCTAGAAGATTCGCACGTTGGTCGTGCGGAGATGCGACGAGTGCGCAAGCGCGAGCGAAGCCTAGCTCGGCTATGTTCGGCTCGCCGTGTGCGTGACACCCTCCCCCTCTAACCCATGCGGAGCGCCCCCGCTGCTGGGTTAGCCTTACGGGGCCTTCCCCTCTTACGTTTCTCCTGAAGAGGAGCTTGTACGGAACCTACAAATGGTGTTAACAAGGATGCATGGTATTTTCCTAACAAAACCCCATCACTGATGCGTTCGAGCGCATAAGTAGAAAGTCCCACAATCTCCTTGATGCGGTACGGACCGTCTCGCCGGGGAATGAACTTCGGCGTCTGTCCTTTACCTGTATCATTGGGTCCTTGGGTTTTCAATAATACCATATCACCTACCTTATAATCTGATTCGGGGCGGCGTCTTTCATTTTCTTCATTTTCAGGCCCATAGCGATACAATATTCTGTCGACAACGACGTATCCTTTATCAGCCCATACTCTCCCCCTAAATGGATCGTTAGACTCCATGGCGTCTATGATCTTGCGTACCTCGGGGTCTTTTAATTGATTCTCCCGGACCTCACTTGGGCTGCGTGTAGGCAGATCCATTACAGTAGACAGCCTGTAAGGAGGTGAAGCAATAGGCTCCTGGTCGTCACTTACCTTGATCTTATGCATGGCGAAGTCTGTCGGTGGTCCCTTGGCAGCAAACTGGGCTGATCTCCTCTTCAAAAAGGCGTTGAGTATGCCTCTGTGCTCTGGTGATAACCTATTACCTTCGTCATAACGCAGGGATACATTAGAGATGTCGGCCTGCATCAGTTCGGCGTTATTTAAAATGACAGTTCGCACAAATGGTAATATCTTCCCTGGGTTGTCAGAAAAATACCATGACTCCTGGGCCAGGTCTAGTGTTATACCAGCCTTACTAATAAAATCGCAACCTAATAAGGTTACAGTTTTTTCCTCGGGTAACACTATGAAATCAGTTTCTATCTGCCTACCTTCCAACAACACGGGAACTGTCGCGATGAGTACACGTTTCAGTTTTCGAGAACCGTCCGCAAGCCCAATGGTGCGTTCTGACTCGCAAAACTGTATTCCTTCCGAAACCAGAATATTATATAATAAGGTACCCGCAATAGTGCAACTAGCCCCTGTGTCCAAGATTGCCGCGCCTACCCTATTCGCGATGTTAATGTACACGGTTGGATGTGATGATGATATTACGTGCGGAGCGTGTGTGGCCTCATCGTTAGTCACTGTGTTAAAATCGCACGTTCGCGGAGGTACACTTTTCCCGACGCAGCGGTCGCACTTCGACCTCACTACGCCCACTTGACCGCATCCATAACAACGAATGGCAGGGCTACTATTATTATTTTTCAAGGAGTCGGTGTTTGCGGCTTGTTTATTTTTAAGATTCCTACACTCGTCAACCGTATGACCGTAGAACTTACAAAACGTGCAACGAACGCGTTTAACCCTTTTCGCGTTCTCGTTCGAATTACCCGGGGTAATGGTGATTTCGCTCTTATCACTCTTATCGCAATCGCGCGAAGCCTGCGGGTGGGAAACATTTGTTGTCTCGGGAACGTTAAGTTTTGCAGTATAACTAGAATTTTCGGTACTCAACGATAATTCGGAGATCGCGTCTTCGATGGCTCTCACCTTCTCTATAAAACCGTCTACGTCAACAATGTCGTCACGTTGTAAACGTTTACGTACACGACGGTGTAACAACCCGTAAATTATATCTATTTGCATGGGCGTTGGCACTACGTATGGTAACTTTACTAATAGAGACCTAATTCTACACACATATACTTCAGCACGTTCGTGTTTATGTTCTTGGCTGAAAACTTCACGTAGAGTTTTATACGCCGGCTTCGGCGTACCATACATGGCGCGAAGTCGTAGCACGGCGTCCTTCCACGTAGCGACGGTGTTGCGGGCGCCGTGCCACCACACGGCGGCGTCGCCCTCCAACAGCATCGGGAGCCCCCGCAGCGCGTGATCATCGCTCACGTCCGCGCACTCCTTAAACACTTGGACAGCGTCGATGAATGCTTCCAGCACCTGTGGTTCACGGGAAGTTCCGTTGAACCTTGCGGTACATTTGGCGAAGTTCCCAGACGATCCTGTAGTGGTAGCGTTCAGCGTCGGTGTTGATGCCGGCAGCGGCGATTGCCATGGGCCGCAGGCCGCTGGCAACGCCCTCAGCGTCTCCACCAGGCACCTGTTGGTCTCAGCTTGCATCTTGACGAATGATTCCATCATGTTCGCTAGCAACATTTCGGTGTCCGTTGTTCTAGCGTTGGCGCCGGTACGTTCAGACGCGGGGACAGGTTCGGGGGCCCGTACAGGGCTCTGCTCCGTAGCCTCGTCATAATCTTCGCGGTCGCTGACGTCGCTCGGCTGGATGTCCGCGTCGAGCGCGGCTTTAGCAGCGCGCATAGCTCGTGTGTTTGGCATAGTAATACTCAATGTAGTATTTTCGTGATTCGGGCCCCACGTTGGGCGCCACTGTAATCTTAACAAAGAAAAACTCGTAAAATATTTTTTCCAACTGGGATTAAGGGAAATAAATTGAAAAAAACTATGCAGAGCTGTGTGACGGCCGCCTCTCGCTTGTTTGAACGTCGCGGGTCACGTGCGTCTCGCACATGCGTGTTGACTTTTTCTAGAAGATTCGCACGTTGGTCGTGCGGAGATGCGACGAGTGCGCAAGCGCGAGCGAAGCCTAGCTCGGCTATGTTCGGCTCGCCGTGTGCGTTACAGATTTCAATTAATTTATTCTTGGAATTTGAACAGCTACTGACTGAGTAATGTCCAATGGTGCTGGGCCAAATATTTATATTGTTAGTCTGAAAAGATAAACATATAATAATTTATTTATCCATAAAAGGTAGGTACAATATAAAAAAAAACTTATTATTGTTGATATATATAAAAAAAAAAAAAAAAAAAAAAAATTATTTTAAATATAAATAGTATTTACCACCATTACTACTTACTGAAAGGCACTACCTGCTGGTATAGTGTTATTCACAAATTCCTGAACTTGAAACACTACTTCAACATCTTTGGCAACATGGAGGCAGTGGAGGCAGTTAGTGGAACACTGGCTGAGATGAGAGCAGAGTTTAAAGAACGAATGTCAAGATTCGAGGCTGGGCACTGCAGTACGCCATCCAAACTTGCATCTGGTGGCACCTCAGGTCTGGCACAAGACTATTGGGCCTTCAAACGGTTCATTTTTGATGCACTTGATTGCCTGCAGCGGCAGATGGAATTCTTTGTCCGGGACATGGATGCACTGGAGATGCGAGGACGCAGAAAGATGCTGCTGATCCACGGAGTCCCTGAGAATAAGAACGAACGCACTTCACTGGTGGTTGCTAGTGTAGCACAGGAAAAGCTCGGTATGGGGAACTTCGGTACCTCTGATGTCCGTAGATGTCGCCGGGTGGGCAGTTTCGCCAATAAAGCAAAGCCCAGACCCATATTGGTGAAGATACAGGACGTGGATACCCGAGACAAGATGTGGTATAACAAGGCCAAGCTCAAGGGTACGGGTATCACAATATCAGAGTTCCTGACGAAGACACGACACCAGGTCTTCATGGCGGCGCGGGATAAGTTCGGTGTGGCGAACTGCTGGACGAAGCGGGGCCACATCTACGTACTGGGACCGGATGGCATCAGACACCGCATACTGAGTCTCGGCGAGTTGCGTGCGATCGGCGAGCCTGCAGCAGTCACCGAGCAGTCTCCTGCAGCAGTCCCCGAGCGGTCTCCTGCGGCTGTGGCTCGGAGGGCGAAGCGCGGTGCCAATAAAAAGTGACTCCATTAATCCTGCTTCGTTCGGGTAACAAATCCATTTTTATTTCCTTTGTTTGTAGCCACAATTTCAATACCCTCACGATATATTTATTCTTACTTAATGTATTTATTTCATATCTACCCATCATAACGTATACATTTTATTTTACCCCTTTTATTTATAATATAATATTTTAATCAACTCCCATATTTTGTTCACTCATCGATATAGTTTTTTTTTTCCGTTCTTTTATGTTTACTGTTACTGACGTTTGACAATTCTTGTCAAGCGTCAAGTTAACAGTTGCGTTCCGTTCGACATCGGATGCGTGAATTGTCTATTAAACTATAGACAATATCAATGCAGATGATGTTTTATTTATAATTTTTATGTAATGTTTTTATTCCTAA